GTTAGGAACCGATTTAACCCACACTGTTGATTATCTACATGTATGATTGAGATCGGTTTGTAAAATTTACATGGTTTATAAAATAAACCTCACATATATATATATATATATAGATATATATATAGATATATATATATATATATATATATATATATATAGATATAGATCTTCTTTTGAAAACTCTTTTATTCGTGAAATCTCTACGAACCAACAATTTTTTGTGTGAAATAAATCAAAGGTACGAAATCTAATTAATTACAACTTTATTGAGACGACTAGACMATTCAAAAAGTCTTCAATAATGAATCTATAATTGAACGATCATGCATGGTTGGCTCATGCTTTATAGGGTTACAAGAAGAAAAAAGAGATTTTAAAATAAAAAATAACCGACAGATTCAGGATTTTCGATAAGGATGGTCCCTTTTTTTCAACCATATTTTCCATAGGATCGTTACTCACTTTTTAAATTTTGTCGAGTTTCTAGATGTGACAGATTTTAACTTTGATATAATCCAAAGATATTTAAAACTCATTTAAATCTCTTTCTAAAATTGTTTTCAAATGGTTCACGTGAAACTAAAGGTTTTTCGTGAGATCCGTAAGACCAATTTATATTCGTTGATCAACTTTATAAGCTAATGATTTAACGGTTTAAAGTTGCACGGTGATAATTTTGTAATTATTGAGAAGTCTCGTGGCAATTTTGTGATTATGAATGTTCAGATTATAGATCTAATCCAAAAGTTGAGATTTGGTCTTACGGGTTTCACGAAAAACTCTTGATCTCACATGATCCCAAATCTATATATATATTTTATAAATTGAAAACAATATAAAAATAATATTGATGATGTAAATGGTAAATATTAAAATATGCATATTTATAAGCTGTTTAAAATTTAAAAACTAAAAAAATAACTATGAAACCAAAAAAAAACTTTGATGTTTAAAGGCCACTAGAGGTTTAGAGAGTGAGTTTTTTTTTTTTTTACTTTAAATGCTTTTAAATCGTAGAAAACCATCTCTAACTAATAAATGTTCTTGTATTATATTCAAATAAAAGTTATTAAGTGGCTGTTTGGCAGTTGTTCAATGGTTTGATGCGGTATGATTAAGATGTCAGAATGATTAAGAGGCTCTTACGATATATAGTAAAATGAAATATGATTGTTTGATAATTGTTTAGAATAAAATTAGGGCCATTAATGGTTCTAAAATGCAAAATCATTTAGAAGGTTTTAAAACCATAAGAAGCATACCAGTTTTTTGGCAAACAAAATTCATCTCTTACCGATTCAGATGTTGTCTCTTAATGAAATTATTAAGAGGTAAATAAACAACCCTAGCCCCCTACTAGCTACGCCATTACGTAAATCAAAAACACCTCATAATGATATATCCATTTTGAATCATGCCCTGGAGTTCTAAATCATGATTTGTTTATGTTTCTCTTTCTTTTCGGTTTTTAAATATTTAAACTATATTTTATAGCCATAAATAGTTTATTTTTTAAATTTATTAAAAAAAATCTTGTTTATAAACTGTAAATTATAAGCTAGTTTTAATAAACTCCAAAGGTTTTTCTCTTCAAACATATCCATTTTTTTCCAATTAAGTAATTTTTCAATATGTCGTTTTAAATCATTTTATGATGTCAATTGTTTTTCTTATCATCAAATTTGAGCAATTTATCAGTTAACAACTAATTATTCAGTTATCAATTACTATTAGCAAATTACTGGTAAAAAATCCGTTGGCTGCTGCACATCAAGGGATATATWACTCATCAGATAGTAAACTATTAGCAACCCATCAGCTGATACCCGTTAGAGTTAAACCCTCAGAGGTATACTCATGAAATATAAACCCRTCAGAGGTAAACTCATCGACGTGATGGCACTTTCATCGGTATTTACAAACACCGATAAAACCACTAATAAAATTTAGTGTATGCTATCTTAATCAGTAGGGCTACCACTAGGGGGCACTGCTCCTTGGACCTCGCAAAGGGGCCCAACCCCCTAGCTAAATTACAAGTGTGCATTCGGTACCTAAGCCATGTTATAGCTAAACTAACAACCCCGTCATTCCCTTATAAATCCAATCACACAAAATGACCCAATGATCCATTAAAATCACCAACAAATAATGCAAAGATGGCAGCACTAAAAAAGAGCTGCCAAAAGAAGACTTAACATGTCAATTCCATGGCATGAAAATGTGTATCATCTTTAAAGCTAAAGCTTCAACCTAATAAACAGTAAAACATACAATAGTGGGCAGCCTATATAGGAAAATTGCTAAAATTTATTGCAAGTAAATTGTCATGAGGATGAGCATGACATTACTTGTATTGAACAAGAAGACATAATAAGGAACAAGAGGAGCTGCAAGACAGTGTAAGCATTTGGTAATAGTTTAAACCAATATGCATAATAAGCTCCAAAAGGGCAACACCAATCTCCAATCCATTAGTGAGTAGAGAAATAAACATAACTTTGTCAACCATGCAAAGAAGTCCATCTAGGGCCATAAATAAGAACATTGAAGTTCAAATAATGGGGATTAATGGAAATCACTTATCTTTGACTTCTATTATTGGCTGATCTCATGTTTTGTAGCTTCATGCTTTTAGATTAAAAGGTGGAAATTTAAAGGGTACACAGGAGTAAGGTCTAGGGATGGTAATGGACCCCGACCCGTCGGGTAACCCGGTCCACCCGCCCCGATCGGGGACGGGGACGGGGATCCCCGCTTGGCGTAATCCGGGGATGGGGACGGGGACGGGTAAATTTTAGTATGTACTTATAAATCATTTTTGTGATGTCATCTAATTTATCAATTGTTTTTTTAATCAAATTTGAGTAATTTATCAGTTAACAATTAATTTACTTGTCATTAATTAGTTTTTCAGCTATCAATTACTTTTAAATCAACGATTTGTATATCTACTAGTTTGTCTAACATAACCTTGAGTTTCCTTACTCGTTCGAATTTACGAGTTGATTTTTGGTGTTCTTGAACTCTATTTTGTATGTGTGGAATATGAGATAAATAACAAAAGGAAGAATATAAAAGGTTGAGGAAAATAAGTTGGTCCCTTTATATTATTTTAAAAGCATTCATCTTTTTGAAAGAAAACCACAAGTTTTTTTTTAAGGTGGGGTCGGACATGAATACGATTTGCGCACATGAAACGTTTATATGCCATATTTTTGTTCACTCGGAAAATCTTCTTGGAACAAAATCGAACCCCTTTGAAATGGTCGTTGCATCTTCGATGGGACATCTCTAAAGTTCTTCGTCGCTCTCGAAGTCTTGTCTTCGCTCTTCAATATGGTACGTTTCACAATAAATGTGTAGTTGCAAGTGGACGTCTATCTTGAACATTTTCAATATATTATCTATCATGTTTACTTTTTTTTAGAAATGTACATATTTTGTTATCATTGAGGTGACGTTTGTTTTCTACGAGGTGCTGAAGTATGAAGTCTTATTTCACTTCTGATTTACAAGAGGCAGTGTTGAAGTCTGAAATTTGAATCAATAAAACTATTTGTTTTTGTAACTGATAAATGTATGTGAATAGAGGAAGGGATGAAAAAGTGAAAAAATTGAAAAAGATATCTTGGTCATTTAGAATTTTAAGAATTTAAGACTTTTGATGAATTTGTTTAATAAGATAGTATAAATAACTTTTAAATAAAGTTCAAAAAAATATATTAAGAGATCAATTTAGTCGTAGAATATGATAATTTGGGTCCATTTCACTATTATAAATTCAATGTCGTGTTGTCCAAGCAAAAATAAGGTACAATAAAAATAAAAGAAGCAGCCTACAGATAGAATAGTATAGGTACAGGCAACCCAGTTCTGATGATCTTCACATGGATGCTATGATTGGTTGTTCACTGCCATTTACTATGCAATCAATTGAATAATAAAACCATACACCATACTTATTACTTAAAAGTTAAAACCAAAGCAAACCAAATAATAAATGTTTGTAATAAAAATGGTATATAGTTTCATAACAATATAACAATTACATTTTTTTTTTTAATTATAAAGGTGGTGCTTGATTGGTTTATGCTTGGTTTCAAAGGTTAAAAGTATCAGGAGATCTCAGGTTCAAATTCAATGAGGAATAAAAATCCCATGGAGGTTCAAATGCGGTGACTCCGGGCTATCTGCAAAGTAGGTGGTCGCCTTGAGATAAGTCGGCTCGTATAACGGATTGGACATCCAGGTTAATAAAAAAAAACAATTACATTTTTTATTAGATTGAATGACAACTTTACCTTAAAACATCTCTATAAGATTATCTAAAACGAAGATTTTAAGAATTTTCATTTTAATAGATTTTTTAAAATGAAGATTTTTAAATTTTTTAATCTAATAGATTTTCAAAACCTTCTTTAAAATGGAGAAAGCAAGAGAAATGGTGAAATGCTTTAAATTTGGAGAATTCTCAAAAAAATATTTTTTGTTCTTTTTATTCATGAGAATCCTTGAAATTAAATATAGAGACAAATAATATTTTATGAAATGTATTAAATATCTTAATAATATAATCCATGTTGTGATCTCCAAAAATAGAGAACTTGTTGATATAATTTTCTTTGGAGATTTTGACCTTAGAAACCGTTTACTAAATGCTTACCCGGTAAGTACTTACTGAACAATTTTTCTTACCGGATGAACATGGCAAAGGGCAAAAAAATCTTACCCGATAAGAGCAATGATAAGAATAGAGGTAAGTGAGGGTGACGACTCTTGCTCGAGTAAGTGCTTACCAGATAAATTATTGCATAAGATATATTTTGATGTACTACAATCTTACCCGATAAAATAAATTATAATGTTAACTTTACCAGAGATGTTCCTGAGAGTTAAGTCATAAGTGTAGAATGTACTGAAACATGTACAAGTAATCGTTTAATGTATACTTCTTTTGCAATTTTCGTTGCATATATAATCCAAAGTTTATTACAATATTTACAAATACAAAATGAGACTTTAAATGTTACTATAAATCAACAAAGATATCATTTGTGGGACGAATGGAAGCAAAATTTTGCAATAAACGACTACAACTACATAACTTAAAAGCACAACGATTTCTACATATATAAATAAAGAAATAAACCTTACTTACGGATTCATATATCAACGTCATAAAGATCCGGAAGAAGCTTATTCGCCGAAGAAGAACTTTCCGCRGTCTCATCCTTATAGAGTGACGTATCTGCCCAGGGACCATCGTTCGATAAGCTCCTCGGTCCTAGACTGTCTGCCGAGATGGTGGAGACTTGTGTCTGACTGTCTTGTGAGACCATGTCAAACGCTTTGAACCTCATGTCTGGGTTTCCTGCCACTCGTTTGACCATGGGTGGCTGAACGGGGATTTTACCATCGAGCATTTTGACAACGGATGACATGGGTGGCCTAAGGGTGGGAGATGGATTGGTGCATAGAAGAGCCAAATTCAGCATCCTCATGGCCTCATCTTTTGGGTATTTAGGACCAAGACCAGGGTCCACTAGTTCCAAAAGACTCCCTTGCTCTTCYAGGACATATGYCTTCAAAAACCAAAATGGAAGTCATCAGTTATGCCTTATTTTTTGTAGCAAATGTATAGGTGGTTTTTGATACATGGGCTTAAGCAAAAGCCACTCCCAAAAGCTAGCTCCAAGGAGGAGGGCTTCCAAACATATTCGGTATATATCAGTTATGCTGTGTTTTTAAACCTTTTCTACTAAGGAAAGGAAAGGAAAGGAAAAATAGCGAAAGGGGAGGAAAGTAAAAAAAAAATAACTGAGACCGACAATCTTACCTACTAAGAGCGAAAGCAAAGATCGAGAATCTTACCCTATAAGTAAGAGTGACAACTCTTGTTAGTAAACACCTACCCGGTATACGTTTGGTAAATGACTCCTTAGGGTGGTCGTGCCCCTATATAAGAACAAAGGCAACGCACAGAGCTATGGGCATCCAAACCAAAGAAATGCAACAGGAAATGAAATGTTACGCTTCAATAGAATGAATTCGGTTTATCGCAGGATAAAGCTACAAGCTATATAATGAAAATTATGGGAGCATGTGATGGAGGCCAGGCTGAGGCGAGAGACGAGGTAACAGATAACCAATTTGGCTTCATACAGGGAGGTCGACAATTGAGACAATTCACATCCACAGATGCCTAATGGAGAAGTATAGAGAACGTAGCGAGGACCTATATATGGTGTTTATAGACTTGGACAAGGCCTATGATAGCGTGCCACAAGTTTGGAGATGAGGAAAACACATGGGATGAAGTTGTCTGATAGGAGCTCTTAGAAGCGGAGGACTAGGACAGTTGTTTTGGGGTGGGGTTGGGGGGGGGGGGTTACCTAAGATGGAAGGGAGTATAAAAAAAATTGAAGGGTAGGGAAAGGGGGATGGGTGGCTGGTGGCACTTAGGGTGCCAAAGTCCTACATTAACTAGAAAAGGGTGGTGTTATTTTTTCCTACATTTTATATCTTATTCTAATCCCTACCCCTCCCCAAACTGCATTCCTATAAGCAGTCAACTACCCTATTCTAATCCGTTGGTTAAGTCCCCTCCAGGCGAGATTCTCATCCCCTTGGTTAACTCACCTGTAGGTGAGAGAGAATATCTCGGATCTTTAGAAAAGATAGAACAGTTTGAATGATTGAACTTACCCAGTCAAGAAGATATACGAACTCCTCCTTTGGCCTGTAATTTGTATTGCTTTTCCCGCTGACAATCTCTAATGCAACAACTCCGAAGCTGTAAACATCTGCTTTATCTGTCAAGTATCCTCTCATTGCATATTCCGGAGCCATATATCCTCTACAAATTCACACCATAAACGTCTCAGATTTGAAAGAATCTAGCTATGTTAAAGTCAAAGGTACATACACAGTACAAAAATATGAGAGGACCCTATAAGATCCAAAGAATGAGAGCTCACATCGTTCCAGCAATCCGTGTGCTGATATGAGTATTCTCTTCTTCATCCAGTTTTGCTAGACCAAAGTCAGATATCTTAGCATTAAGATCCTTGTCGAGAAGCACATTGGTGGCCTTTATGTCTCTATGAACTATTTTCAACCTTGATTCCTCGTGGAGATAGGCTAAGCCCCGTGCTATTCCCATRCATATCTTCTTTCTTGTAGGCMAGTCCAAATTAAGCTTCTGGTCCTCACGACCTATATAGAATGACAGATTGTAAATTTTACTTTGAATAGATATAGAACAGCTAAATAGTGGGATGGTGAAGTATTTACCAAAAAGAGCACGTGCGAGACTGTTATTTTCAAGGTATTCATATACCAGCAACAATTCCTTTCCTTCGATGCAACAGCCATAAAGCTTAACAAGGTTTGGATGATGCAAAGCTGATATCATGCCTATCTCAGTGACAAATTCACGGTTCCCCTGTTTTGATCTTGCGGAGAGTTGCTTAACAGCAATCTCGGAACCATCCGAGAGTACACCCTGCAAATTAAACAGGAAAACATTCGTAAATCACCTCAAAAATAAAAGAGAAACATAAAATCATGTTGAGAGGGATAAGGTTTACTAGATACCTTATAAACTGGTCCGAAGCCTCCTTCACCGATCTTATTTGCAGAATCAAAGTTATGAGTAGCGGATTTGATTTGTCGCAGGCTTAAATAACCAGTCTGTAATTCAAGTGCTCGAAGCTCTGTGACAAAGGTACTGATTAGAAACAGCTAGAATTGGAAACATTTCAAGAGCCAACTAATACTCAATCTCCTATAGATTATTCTTACCTTTATCTTCTTTGCCTCCTAGATAACCTTTCTTCCAAAGAACAAATAAAATTAGCGCGATAGCTGCACAGCAACCAATCACAATTCCAGCTATAGCTCCAGCAGCGAGTCCTCCTGTACTGACGTCAAAGTCTGCAAGAAGGGGGGATAACTAGGTTATACATGCTCTTAAAGTGAGAACAATGAAAAAGGAACAGATGATAGAAAGAATGTACTAACTTGGTGTTATTGTGATACCGGATATAAGAGGTCCATATACACCCCGATCTGGAATTGCAGTAGTCCCTTTCCCTGCCCAGTACAAGTGAATCTCTAGGGTGCTACCATTAACCATAACATYAYTGACGTYTATGGAGATGCCCCTGCCAACACCATTAGCTTCTTCCATGATGTTGAAGTCCTTTCTCSTCAGAACCCCCTACATGAAAAACCAAATTAAGTTTGTAWCTAATTATTCTCCAATTGAGATTTATACAATCTAAACAAAAACTGGCATGTCACTTACTTGGACAGATATATCAAAATAGCGTCTTCCCAGACTGCTAAATGTCATGTCATCAGAATAACTAATTTCAGCAAAGTGGAGCCTCACTTTATAACTTCCCTGCCGCAAACACAGTCCATAGTACCGGAGTGAAKTGGGAGAAAAGCGAGCTGTTYTATATACATCTCCACCTGTCACATTTTCTGATCTTGAAACAAATGGAGCATCATYGTTGCCCAAGAAAACCCCATTCGTGCTATAAGCCCATCTCTCGGGACTAGAATAGAAGWAAGATTGCTGGTTGGTCAAATCTTCTTCATACTCATTTCCKTCAAAGTCTGATCTGGGTCCACCGCAATTAATAAACAAAGAATGACCTGCATTGTAAGATTTATTTGTGAAGATCTACAAATGGATATAACAATTAACCTAGAGGGAGTGGTTAGTTGTTATTCTTACGGTTGGGGTTTCTGCTGCACAAAAGTTCGTCTTTCAAACACCAAGCATCTCTATAAAATTAATTCACGTTAGGTCACATCACTGTGAACAATTCAAAAGAGTGTGTGTGTGTGTGTGTATAGGTTGGTGATAGAACATACCCGTTGCTTGCGGCAGAAGATGACATGGCTGAAACTAAATTCCTGTGGTAAAGGTACTAGTTAAGCGAACATAAAAAAATATACCTTGAATATAATAAAGGTAGGATTGCAAACAACTTACAAGTTAGATGACTGACAGTTCTGTTTTGAAAATATACGTGTAAAATTGTTGTAAGACAAGTCACTGCAATAAAAATAGTGGCAATTTTTTTAGCTCCAACTCCACAATATATACATATTAAAAAGCAACTCTTACGATGGCCTAAATCCTAATGTAAGACACCACAGTGATAAAATCATCTCTATGATCATAGATCACCATTCCTGTAAACATGTAGCATAAAAATAATAATCAAGGGGAATCACTTACATCTTTACATTGGTAATTTTCAGAAATATCCATTGAGGAATCTCTCCGGATAGTGAGTTGTTATTCAGAAACCTACATTATAACACTCTATCTCAAATTTTACCAAGAAATACAGATATCCGAGGTATGTATGATAGATGTAACATCTTTCTAAGTAGTTGCATACATGGTGTCAAAGTTTAATGTCTGCAATGTACTGGGTATTGGACCGTTCAGCCTGTTGAAGCTCAGGTCTCTGCAAAAGAAATGGTTCAGTTGAAGATGTCCTTAAGCGTAAATAAATTAAAAGCGAGGATCATGCAAAATCAACAAAGATATAATATCATGTCAAAAAAATAAGATAAAAATTAGAGATTTGAAGTTGTTATAAACAAATTAACAAGAAACAGGGAAAAGCTCAGAAGATCAGTAAACTCCACCAAATGGAAGATATCATTGGAAACCTATAAACAGGGACAAAGGAACGTTTGCTATAAGAGACATGTTAAGAACACTTTAAAAGCAATGGATGACGACAAAATCAATAATTTGTGTCAAGTAAGGGGGAAAACCTTTGCCAGACATAGTACTAATACTATTGACTGTTTTGTATATGTTTAGTACTTCATTATTTCGTTTGACTATATACTGCTAAGTGCTAAATGTTATGAACCATTTAAGGTATGTTCTGATGGAAACGTATATCATGAACCTCATGTGGAAGAAGCTAAAGATTAAATCAGTTTATGTCAACAATAAGTTCACAAAGAGAAGGCCATTAGTTTGTAGATTCTTTTGCCACCATTGCACTGGTCCTGAAAACTTGCTTGATCTTTCATCATCAAAGCACGAAATTATTCATGTAAATTCCAAATTTAGAGATAAAACTGTATATTTATCCATTTGAATTCCATACTTAGAGATGAACTATAGACAGAAGCACAAACTCAAAAGACCAATGATCTTTGTCTTAACATAAATAGAAACAATGGACTTACAAGTTCTTCATGTCACTCATCTGTCCTATGTAGTCTGGTATTGGGCCAGTAAGCAAACAATTTCTCAGGGACCTGCAGCAAAATTATTTAGAAGACTTATCATGTCAACTTTCTGTACAAATTTARCTCATTACTRTCACACGACTATGAAATCAACTCACAATCTTTCCAATCCTGTCATGTCTCGCAAATTAGGAAATCTCATACTCGACGATCCAGCTAAATCAGTTATCCTCCTGACAACCATAATGCATATATAAAATAAATTCAAGGCTCAAAACTATTACCACCCATTTATTGACCAAAAGCTCAACAAAATAATTAGAGACTTAGTAATGTGCTCACAATTCAGTCAAATTTCTCAACAGAGATATCGTAGAAGGAATTGGTCCCTCCATTGATGTTCCTTGCAAATCACTACACAATAGATTATATATYATCAAAATTTTAGATGTGAAACGGTCAACAGAGAAAGTAAAAGAACACTCACAGTCTATCAAGTCTTGTCCAGTTTCCGATAAAATCAGGTATTCTCCCTGATAAAGTACTCCCATCTATCCTACTGCAAGAAGTTGACAGAAGATTCAATAATTTCACAAAATATCTGGTGAATCAAAACAAAGATCTCTATGACTTACAAATCTTCCATATTAGTCAGATTGCCAAACGATGTAGGTATGGTTCCTGTAAAGTTATTTGCAGAAACAAGGCTGCAAGAGAAACCGTTCATTGTGAATAAGACAAACATGTCAACATTAGTATGAAAAAGACTACCAAAAAAAGAAATGATGTCAATTCCGTGGCATGAATTTGTACAAGTGAGAACATGTATCATCTTTAAAGCACATAAAGCGTAGCCCAAATAAACAAACACACAATAGCGGGCTTATATCGGGAAACTGCCAAAACTAAATGTAAATAAATGGTCTTGCTAGCTTCTCCAGTAATGCTTTGAAGTGGAAAAATTATATGAGTAACCCAGATTCTAAACAACACATGACACATTCAACTGAAAAGCTGGACGAACGCAAAAGTATGTGAATATTACTGTATGCATGGGCTCCCATTTACAATTAATGGGGATTARTGGCAATCAATTCCCCTGATAGAGGCCAAGACTAATCACAGGCATTGAAAGAGCCAAGTGTCTTTGACTTCTATTATTGGCTGATCTCATGTTTTGTAGCATCGTGTTGTCAGATTAAAAGGTGGAAGTTTAAAGGGTAAACGGWGGAAGGTCGCATGATCTTACAATCTTCKCAATCGAGGCAAGYGCCCGAGGTTTCGAGGAAGTGGTCCACTAAGCAAATTGTCTTCCAATATCCTGTTGTACAGGTCAAGATTTTAAGAACAATGGAAGGCCTCACTTATGATAGACTTGTCARCCAAGGATCTTTACTTACAGCTCCTCAAGGGTAGAAATATCACCTATTTCTTCAGGTATGGGACCGCTTAGGCGGTTCCCCAAAAGACTCCTGTGGAAAATAATTTGTCAATAG